ATAAATGTATCCATCTCTTTTCCAGAGCTTCCTCGTCGAATGTGATTCGGCTAGAATATGCGTTTTATCTTCCTAAAAGTAATTTAAACAATATTAAAATCAGTAATTTTTAATTAAACCAAAATTTTTTGTTTCGGTTAAAAAATTAAAACAGAGAACATATTTTTCAAAAAAATTCTAAATTTCAAATTAGCGCACAAAATAAATAAATAAAAAATTCTTTTTCATTTTAATAAAACAAGAGTTCATTCATTTTAAATTTGATTATTTGATTATGTTATGTTCTGTTTATAATTTTTAAAAAAAATAACTATACTACTGACCTAAACTATAATCAATATCACTGGCATTTGTGAGATAAAAATTAATCTTCTTTTGTACGAGAAATTAATACTTTCTTTTTTCAAATTATTCTTACAAAATATTAAGAAATGAATTTTTTTTTTAAAAACTTTACCGACTTAATTCTCATTGAATATTGAATAGATAAATTAAGAATTGAAAAATTTGTTAAACTTTTTTTGTAAATTTAGTGTTTTTCATCAGTAGTTAGATTTAAATTTGAATGAATTATGTTCTGTTGATCATTAGAAATCTGGAAGCGTTGCTCGTATATCCTGGGACACCCGAGTGAGCAACGCTGTTATTAGGAAGCGGGTTCTAGGTAAGAATGGCAGATCAATAGATGAAGTGCTGAAACTTCATCAGTTGAGGTAGTTGGGACATGTGTTACATATGCCTAACCACCGACTGCCTCGACGAGCTATGTTTTGTGGTATAGGAGTAGGTTGAAAGAGAGCTAAGGTTGGCCAAACCAAAACATAGCAGAAATCTATAAACTCACTGACTAGTGAACTGAGTCATGTTGATAGATGTAGGCTACCTGGTTGGGGTATACGAGGTGATAGTAGTTGATGGTTAGAGACTTTGAATGACATGGTTCAAAATCGCTTGCAATGGCGCAAGTACATCCACTCATTGTATTCTATGAAATTCTAAACTTCTTAATTCCTTATCACTTGATCTTTCTCTTTCTAAACTTATCTCACTGAATTAAACTTCTTGAATAATATCTTCGCTCCCTAATCTTCTCTATTACTGCTCATTCTTCTACTATATCTAACACTATGGGATTTAAAATTGACAGTTGTGTCTCTTTGCTAATGTGGTGTGGCAACCTGAACTTGTGTACTCATGTACGACGTTGGTTGGCAGATTTCATCCTAGTAGTGCACTCTTAAGCAGTGCACATCCTTGACCCTCGTCAGCAGGAATAGAACCAAGAAGATTATGTCTTGTGTACTAACGCTTAGCCTCTAGACCACTGAGTCAGCCGCCATCCGACTGTGTTAATTTCTCACTCTAATCATTTCAGAGTACTTCATGACCACACCTAATGTTTTCTGTGAGCAACTGGTTCACATTCAACTGGGTCGAATTTCACTGGTCATAGCCTCTCACTAGAACTCCTGGAGATGTCCTCACTAAACGAGTCACTAGTGAACACTTTTTATCATTATCAGTGTAGAGTTAGGGAGATTGTTAAGTTTCACTGAAATGCGTACTGCTGATGAGTCCAATACGAGGACGAAACGTCTGTTTTCCAATGCCTCCAGGTTTCTAATGGTGGTCTAACAATGAAATAGGAAAGTTTCATGTTGTTTCTACCGAATAAAATCATAGAGATGAGATATTTGAGTTTTAATTAATCAGATATCTTTTTCTCTCTGAGAAACAATGATGTTACCAACCAAAGGCAAAAATACTGAATTTTCTTGGAGGTCATACTGAAATTTGCTTAAATTATTTTGTGGAAATGCTGACTCGATCATTGTTAGATCGCCAATAGAAACCTGGAGACACTGAAAGACAGCCATTTCGTTCAAGTATGGGAACACTTATCAGTAGTAGTAAGCATCCATGACCCCGCATGTAGGAATCGAACTTAGGACATTCAGTCTCATAGGCGGACGCTTGACATCTAGACCACTGAACCGGAATCCAATAGTCCTATTCATCTCCATAACCCTACAATCAAAGTTATCATGTACTCACTAGTAACTGGCCATAAGGGGAAGTTCCTCCAAGTTCTAGTGAGGAATCGTGACCAGTTGCCCACCGAAGACAATGAGTGGATTGGTTGAAGTAAGGCATCAGCGCCAGTGAATACTGGTCCAGTGGTCTAGAGGTTAAGTGTTCACGCTCTCAAGATTGAACATGATAGGTTCGATTACTGCATGCAGGTTTCGCGGATGATCACTGCCACTGATGAGCAGTTCAATACTAGGACGAACCGGATGTCTTTCAGTGCTTTCAAGTTTTTGACGGTGATCTAAAAATGACTGATTCACGATTTCAAAGAAACTCAACAACGAACTTCATAACCCTTATAGTTTAAAACTTATTCGATTGTAAAATTTAAATACTATTATTTTAACCGAATATTTTTTTACAAGTTACAAAAATTCCGTTCTTTTTTTCTTAATTTTCATAAATAAATAAATAAATATTTTATTCAAAAATTAATTTTTTAAAAAAAACAACAAAATAATCATTTATTTGGCATAAGTAAGCAATATACTACTTAAATGAATAATTAATCATGTTCATGCACATGTAGTAAGTGTATTCTAAGCATACAGTCAGTCATTTTATAAAATTTGTTTTTTTCTTCTCTGTCTAAATAACTAAAACAATAAACTAGACATTGTAGGAGTGAGTTTTTTTTCTTTTGGGTGTGCAAATAAACGTACAAGTGAATTAATTATTCTGCACATAAGATACCTTTTTGAATATTATTTCTGTTAAATAGGAGAGTTATGCATCTTTACGACGATTATGTATGTAGTCGTCAGTGGTTAGACAAGGCTTTTATTATTATTATTATTATTATTAATATTATTATTATTATTAAGTCTACTGAATAATCAACCTTCTTACCTACCTTTCTATCAATTTGTCTGAATACTCACTGAATTATTTATTATTAGTCTGATAAACCAGTGTACTTTAAAAAAAAGCCGATTGCCAAGTAGTAGTCGATCTATGCTGAACACTAAATTTCTCAAAGTTGAACTAATTTCTTAAAGTACTGTAGTTAGATTAGGATAATAATATTGTGGTTAGAGATGATTAAGGAGAATTCGGAATCTTTGGTTGGATAACAGTGAAGATTACTTACTTGCGTACTTACTTACTTACTTACTTACTTACTAACTTACTTACTTACTTACTTACTTACTTACTTACTTACTTACTTACTTACTTACTTACTTACTTACTTACTTACTTACTTACTTACTTACTTACTTACTTACTTACTTACTTACTTACTTACTTACTTACTTACTTACTTACTTACTTACTTACTTACTTACTTACTTACTTACTTACTTACGCTTGTTACCTCCAGTTGAGCATATGCCGCCGACTAGCAATGTACTACTTACTCTGTCTTCCGCCTTCCATTCTAGTTCTGTACAATTATCGCTCACATTCCTCATGTATGTCTCCATTTCTCGACGTAATGTACTGTTTGTTCGTACTGTTTTTCTTTGTCTTGAGTATTCCAAATGACGGCTTGAAGGCTTGTGACGCAATTGGATGGTTTACTGAATATGTGTCCTATCCACTCTCTGATTTCTTCCTCTGAATGAAATTGGTTTGTTATCTGCCACAACAGTTTGTTCATGTCTGTATCTGGCCAACGGATCCGAAGTAGTTTGCGTGTACAGGTGATATCAGTAAAAATTAATCCCAATAACGAAGATAAATCCATTTCAGTTCATTTTCAAATGATTAGAATTATTCCACTGTTAATAGCTTGACTGCGGTTTCATCAGTCTCGCTTTTGTAATCTTGAATTTAGGAGCTAAGTGATAACGAATGAGATGGCATTCAAGGCGAATTGTACTACGTTCGAGTCCCGGAGTGGACATTCTCTCTTCTACTTTACGGATGTGAAATATAAAGTAATAGATAAGTATGGTAAATAAACTGATGAAGCAACGTAACTTAATCAGTTGAGGTGGTTGAGACTTGTCTTATGTATGCCTAATGTAGGGTTCGTCACTAGGTACGCTTCAATCTATTACGAGTTCGCCAGCGTCCAGACAGGCTACCTTGAATCCCAAGCTGTAAAAAAGAAGTCTTGATAAGCGTAGAAAGTATATTCTACAAACACCCAGTAATCACACAGTACAGTCAAGCATACAACTCTCGTTTATTTATATATCATAGAAACGTCCTTGGGTCAGTTACGAAAATAGTACACTAAAATATACAGCAGCCAATCACAGCCATGGATTTTCCTGGTGGGAAATGAAATCTCAAGGTTAACTGATCAACCCATGCTGGCAAACGTGAAATCCGAAATAAGGCATTTAACAAGCGAGTTTTGGGGATCTAACATCCCCAACATCTAACCAACGACTGCCTCAAAAAGCCATGGTGTCTGATGTAGGGGTAGGCTAGAAGAAGGCTAGGGGTGGCCAAAACAAAACATGGCATAAATCCATAAAGTCACTGACAATTAAAGTGAGTTGTATTAGTAAGTGTAGACTAACTGGTTGAAGTCTGGCAAATAATCGTATCCAGTGGTTTGAGACTCTGAATGACATTGCTGAAAATAGTTTTTAATGGCGAAGTTGTATCTATTCTTTATGTTCTCTCAAATTCTACTCTCCTGAATTACTCATAACCGTTTTGTTTGTTGTTTTCTAAATTGATTCCTCTGAGATATACTTCTCGATCTTCTCCATTATCACTAACGCTTCTACTATATCTACTACGATGGGATTCGAATTACCAATTCTATCTCTCTCTGTGCTAGTATGGTATAGGAACTTTAACTGAAGTACGTACATTAGAAGTTGTATGTTGTATCTAACTGACTGACTGAATGACTAACTGAGTATGGTTTCTAGTACTAATATGTGTCACCTGTCTTCTTAAAACACTCCTGTCGTTGTATTCAGGTATTTTCCTCAGTGTATTTCAGTATGTTTGTATATGATATATCAGAGAAAACTCTAAAATCTTACAAGACCGGTGATTATTTTAGTGTGTATCCGCTCAGTAATGCACTACACTTCTTTTTTCTGGTTGGCTATTTTATGGGCCAGTTATTTGTCTACCGGATGTAGTCACTGATCTCCCACACTCAGTCCTCCTCCTTTATCCGGGCTTGGGACTGTGAGTAGACGCAGATGGGCTCCAGGTGGAGTTTATAGTATACTATACTCTGAAATATTAACATCTTTCACGATGTTGACTTTCAAACTTTTGATCAGTATTATTAGTAGTAGTAGTATAATTCTTTTTCTTTTATTTTTCTTTTCAAAATTAGTTTATAGTTTTGTACTGGCTAATGCACGTATAGTCGACTATCCAATTGTATATTGTAATGAAGGTTTCTCTCGATTAACTGGTTATAGTCGAGTGGAAATTATGCAAAAAAGTGGCAGTTGTGCATTTTTCTACGGTGAACAAACTACCAAAGAAATGCGTGAACGTTTATTAAAAGCACTGGACACACAAACACCAGATCAGATTGAAATGTTATTTTATAAGAAAAATCGTAAGTTGTCCATTTAATGTTAAAATGACATATATATTATTCGCAGTTATATGCAAGAGTAATTTTACATTGGTTTTCAGGAGAACCAAGGAGACTGTCCACTTGTTAACACTACAACATGGTGCAACCATCACGCAGTTACTTGATACCCCGGTGGGCTATTCCCATCACATATATACCCTAGTGTATATATATATAGTAATTATTTCTGATCCGTGATTGTGTCGATCGATATGTGAAACATGAACGGGCTAGTTTCACGCATCCCGTTTAGATGACTGTCAAGCTCATTATTATTAGCAACCTGTGATTTGCATAACAGTGTCCCAATGGCTATGACCCTTGGGAATGTTGCAAGAAAATGAATCCGGCCACCCGACTAACCAAATTTGTATATGAACTATTAGCAATACTTGCCAAAGTAATGCCAAGCCATCCGCAATGTTTACAACGAACCTCCGGTCTCATAGGCAACCTTCAGCTCTATAGAGCAGTATGTAGTATATAGTATTGCTTCAGATAGCAAGAGATGCCTCCCAGCTTGATGCCAATAGGCTCAAACACTCTTATTACTCTTTTCTCACATTCTGGGTAATGATTTTTTCCGCAATAGCGAAATTTTCATTTTTTGGACCATATGATGAGACACATGAGTTAGAGGTAGTATCCCTTACATATATATGACCAACTTGGTGGTACTTGTCTGTAAATTTTTAGTGTGTCTACTTTTCAGTATTCAATCTATGTGTTATATCCAACATTTTCTCTTTTGTTTACTAAATGAATATACCAAGCAAAAGAGCATAATTTTCATTGGGGATTTCATTTCAAGTTCTAATTTTCGAGATTTCATTATGGTTTTTTAATCAAGCATTTGGGGATGCTCTACAGCAGTAGGTTCATAGAATAAATATGTACATAGCATTAAGAAAAAATACATACGTATTTGCAACACTGACTCACTGAACGGACAAGTGGATCTTCGGAAATTCCTAGCTATCAGACTTTTTTTGAATATTGAAAAAGGCTGGTTTTCTCAACCCTACACGTCATGAATTCTGAAGATCTCAGGTTCGATCTGTCGTTGAGTTATCAATGTGAACTGTCTGACAGTCTAATACAAGGATGAACTATCAGTCAGTCAGAAACAACATAGAACTTAATACTTGCGCACATCGGTTCAAGTTGCCATATCACATCAGCACAAACAGATGGAATTGTAGGGAAACTATCTAATCGTTTCAAAGAATATACATTATTGTTGGTTATTTGAAGAAAATCGTCAGTAAATGACAGACCTACGTTTTTCATTGATTTACACATGTGACTAAAGTGAATCTGGAATTTGTAAAGAACTAACTATGCTTTGTATGAATCAAACCAGTAACTTGATTACTTACGTTACACTGTTACACCTGATAGAGCGTAGACCTCCGACCAGTATTCTGCAAGCCACTCTGTCATCCGCCTTCTTTTCTATTTCTGTCCAATTATTTCTCACTCTTCTCATACCTGTCTCCATTCCTCAGAATAATGTGTTTTTCTGCCTTCCTCTTTTCCTTTGACCCTGACGATTCCAAGTGAAGGTTTGTCTTGTGATGGAGATGGGTACTTTACCCAATGTGTATCCTATCCAATTTCAACTTTTCTTCTTGATTTTCTGTTCCGCTGGAATCTGGTTTGTTCTCTTCCACCGAAGATGTTATTGATAGTATCTGGCAAATGGATCCAAATTATATTTCGTTGACAACTGATGGCTTTCGTAGTTCCCCAAGTTTCCGCCCCCTACATTGAAAATTGTGACTTTTCTCTTGTTTGGCAGTTGCTTTGAGTTTCAAATGTTCTTCAGTTGTAAAAATACTGAGCTCGCTCTGCCGACCAGTGCCTTCACATCTGCATCAGATCCACCGTGCACCTTGAATTATTCTGCCCAGTTATGTGAAGGTTTTTGTATCTTCCAAAGCTTCGCCGTCAAGTGTGATTAGGTTGGTGCATGTTGTGTTGCATCGGAGAATTTTGCTTTTTCCCTTGTGTATGCTGAGACTTACTGCTTCTGAGGCTGCTGCTACACTGGTCGTCTTCTCTTGCATTAGTTGTTCCGTGTTAGATAGAAGAGCCAGGTCATCTGCAAAGTCCAGATCATCCAGCTGCATCCTGGCTGCCCATTGAATACCGTGCTTCCCTCCAGACTCTGACATCTTCATAATCCAGTCGATCACCAGGAGAAAGAGAAAGGGTGAGAGTAAGCAACCTTGCCTAACACCCGCCTTCACCTCGAACGAGTCTGTCAGCTGTCCTCCGTGCACGATTTCGCAGTTTAATCCTTATGATGTTGACTATCTTGTCAGGCACACCGTAGTGTCGAAGAAGCCTTCATATTGTTGTCCTTTTCACACTATGAAATGCTTTCTCGTAGTCAATGAATTTGAAGTAGAGTGGTGAGTTCCATTCAACTGATTGTTCCACAATGTTTCGCAGTGTTGCGATTTGGTCAGTACACGATCGATGCTTACGAAATCCGGCCTGCTGATATCGAAGTTAGACGTCAGCGGAAATCTTCATTCTGTTTAAATATACCCTGTTGAAGACTTTGCTTGGTACTTGTACCCCATTCCAACAGTAGCTGGATCATTAGACACACACTGAAATTACACATTTGAAATCATGGATCGATCAATGTTAGACTGCCATTAGAAACCTGGTATGTGACTCACCTCGCAGTATCCGAACCCAGCAGAACCTTCGGTCTGCTTAACTTCTGGACAACTTAGCCGGTATCTAATGGTGTAAATATTTAACTTCGATCAATCCACAGACTTGCACAACGTCATACACTGCTTCGGTAGTTACTGTCTACATCCAAACCAGCTGAACTTCACTGGTCACAAATTTCCATTAGAACTCGTAGAATTAATCCATTTAGAATGTCCATTATCTACTTTTTTTGAATTAATATCCACTATTTATGAAATTCTTATGAAAATATTTTTCTCAATTAAATATTTACCTGTTTTTCTTAAAAATTCTATTAATATTATTTTAGGTGTATCATTTTGGTTACTTGTATGTGTTGCACCAGTACGTAATGAATGCGAAGAGGTTGTGTTATTTTTATTAGCTTTCAAAGATATCACAGCATTGAAAACACCATTCGATGATGATGAAACGGTTAAAGGTAAATTATATTTATGTATTGGTTATTATTTTATTTGAAATGTGTAGTTTAAATTAAACTAATTTTGCTGGTCGTCGGACTGACCGCTTTTGCGGTGGAAGTGGCTGCGTTACAGTCGAAGTCGGGTTCACCAATTCTGTGGAGATCGGTTATCGATATAATCTCATTAAACTTCGTATACTGCTCGTCCTGATAACCGTTACTAGATAACATTCGACAGTGCAGACCATTCAGAAGACGAATACGAAGCGTTGAATGAGTGTTTTGTCGCATCACAGATCACAAAACCACATGCATGCGAAGCGAAACTGAGAGTGACGAAGAGCGAGCAAGTAAGAAGGATTGAAATGAGTCATGAAATCATTGAAGAGGCTAATATTAAAGCGGGTAGAATGAATATATGTGTATAGAGGCGCAGTAACCAATGCTCAGTCATAGCTGCTCATACACAATCCGACAATAATCAAAGCATAATGGTACAGATAAGTTCTTGGTATACGAATAACTTACTTACGTCTGTTGCCTCCCAAATGGAGCATAGGCCACCGACCAGTTTTCTCCAACCAACTCGACCTTGGGCTTCCCTTTTCAGTTCTGTTCAATTTTCATTCATTTTCCTCATGTCTTTCTCTATTTCTCGGCGTAATTTGTTCCTTGGCCTTCCTCTTCACTGAATGACTCTGTCTGTTAAATAAATTAATCAAAAGGGTGGCTTAATCAAATTAAACGTGAACAGACTCGAATGTGAGTTGCTTTATGATCAACATTTGGTTAAATATCGACAATCATTATTATAACCAAACAGTTGTATCAGTGAACGTTTTACCGGACATTTTATTGATTCGTACACTTACAACGCATTTTTGCTTCTCACTACGACGCCTCAATGTAGATGTTCTAGTCGAAAGACGATGCACATGTCTACAAAACAATTAAGTTTGGGTGCCAAGTGTTATCCCAAAAATCTCGTATTGAAATACAGAAGACAGGATAGTCTAGATGAAATAAATGTGTTCACTGGCGATTTAGTGGTATCAAAAGAATACCGAAACGTTCCAGAGAATTGGGCGAAGGTACAGAGCAACCGAAGCGAGATGGTGACCGGAAAGAGGCGGAGCATGTGACCGTAGCGTAATGTTAGTATATATATACAAAACGTACAAAGGTCATTACGTACACCGAAAGTACGAATGAACAAATATTCAATAAAACTGGTGTTACTAAATAACCAATCGTGTTTTTCTTCATAAAAGTGAAATCACTACAACCTGACTAAATCTTAAACAGTATGACTGTGTTTCACAACTCAACTTATACCATAAGTTTTTCTTCGAACTCGCTCATTTCGCAGACAGGAACTTCGATTCGAGATCGTAGGTGAGTAGATACACATAATATAAATAATTATTTAGTACAAGATTATTGATAAATTAAACAGTCTTCAAATGAAAAAAATCTGATACTCGTAAGAGCAATAATGATAAGGCGCTGTAAAAAATATCTCTACTATTTCAAATTGTCACCTCCGAATTGAGCTCTTCTAGAGTTACTGCCGGCCCCACTCCCGGACAAAGGAGGACAGTTGGTTATGGGGTTAACGACCACATCCGTAGAAATCCAACTCGTTAAAAAAACGCTAACCAGAAAAACAGTTCGCTAATCGGTCTATGCACCGTTAGAGGTTCTGTGGCAGTGTCTATCATTGAAAGGTGTACCAAAGAAGTACATTAACCTTATAAAAGCCCTTTACTCGAACACCACTGGTCGAGTGAAGGCTTATGGCGAACTGTCATCGGAATTCTCTACTTCAAGTGGTGTCCGTCAGGGATGTCCACTATCTACATTCTTGTTTAATTTTATCATAGACATGCTCCTATAAATAACCTTATCCATGTCTGAATTGTCAGGAATAGACCTGCTACCAGGTGTATCGCTTATTGACTTAGAATATGCTGATGACGTTGTCCTACTTGGTGAAGACGCTCACAAAATGCAGTCTTCTGACTACCCTAAGCAACAATGCATGCATGTTCGGGATGCGGTTCTCACCCTCGAAATGCAAAATGTTGCTTCAAGACTGGGTTGCATCAGCACCTCAACTAGTGACAGGGAGTGAAGTAGTCGAACGTGTAGACCGCTTCACTTATCTTGGGAGTCTCATCAGTGCCAATGGCCTGGTTACTGATCAAATCTCAGCTCGGAAACAGAAGACTCGATTAGCTTTTGCCAACCTGCGTCACTTATGGCGTAGGCGTGATATCCGTTTGCTGACTAAAGGACGAGTGTACTGTGCAGTAGTTCGCTCCGTCTTACTTTATGGCTGTGAAACATGGCCAGTGAGAATAGAAGATATTCTTCGGTTATAGGTTTTCGATCATAGGTGTCTTCGAAGCATTGCTCGTATATCGTGGGAAGATCGTGTGAGCAAATCTGTTATTGGGAAACGGGTGCTAGGTAAGGATGGCAGATCAATAGATGAAGTAATGAAACTTCATCAGTTGAGGTGGTTGAGACATGTGTTGTGTATGCCTAACCACCGACTGCCTCGACGAGCTTTGTTTTGTAGTGTAGGAATAGGTTGGAAGAAAGCTAGGGGCGGCCAAATCAAAACATGGCAGAAATCCATGAAGTCATTGACGAGTGGACTTAGCCATGTCGGTAATTGTCAACTACCTGGTTGGGGTCCGCGAGATGATAATAATCGATAGTTAGAGACCTTGAATGACATGGCTCAAAATCGTTCGCAATGGCGCCGGTGCATTTATTCTTTGTGTTCTCTCAAATCCTAATCTTCTGGATTCTTCAACACCTCTAGCTTTTACTTTCTAAACCTATCACATTGAATCATACTTCGTAAATAATATCTACTAATTCAAACCTCTCCGATTACTCCTAATCCCTTTACTACCCCTCCTACTACTCGATTTGAATTGACAGTTGCATCTCTGTGTTAATGTGGTGTGGCAACTTGAACTGATGTACTTACGTACAAAGTTCTACGTTGCATCTGACTGACCGACTGACTCAGAGAAAACCAGCGTTAGTAAGTAATTTCAACTTGTCGAATAGAAAACAACACTCATTTTTAGAAAACAAAAATTTAATTCATGAGGAGAAAAAACAAACAAAACAAAACAAAAGCCAACTGAATAATAATTATACATTTTCAATTAGAATTTATATCATTTTTGTTGACAAAAAAACAAATTAATGATCCCCAGTTCAAATTTTTGAAAACATTGAACTTTGAATAGAAAATTAACTGATAATTAGAATCTGTTGACCTTGACCAATAGAGGAGAATAAAAACGAAACTAATACTAATCATGAGTAACTAACTTATTAATTAAAATATCAACATAACTCGACAATTATCACATCCGGTCGAGTGGTAACACTATCATCTATAAACTTATATATATTGTGAAATTTCAATTACAGCTAACAAGGTTATATATATATACATATAAATATACAGTGAAACGCAACTTAGAAACTGGTATGTTTGCATATTGGTTCAAGTTCCCTACCTAAGTAACAACACAGAGAGGTTAACACACGAACCCCCAATCACGTAGTCTACAACTGTTAACATGGTTTAGTCTGACTATCTGACTATCTCGGCTATCTTTCTACCAGCCTACTCCTATATTAGATAACATGGCTCATTGAGGTAGGTAGTGAATGATTGGACACACGTAGAAGATGTTCCAAAATTCATTTCCAAATCCTAATTGAGGTATTGCTTAATTTGGTGATCCTAAAATTAACTTACGAATATCCTTGGTTCTTAATGACCGACCATATATCACATACATAAATGAGAACGAATTGAATTGTTCCATAGCAAACTCATCCTTTATTTGGTAGACAGATATCTCATCTACACCACATGGGAATTGAGTTGATAAAAACCAGTCACAATATCTGAATAGAAGCTGAAATTTTGTCACATATCCAATTATCATATCTGATCGAACTCTCTCTAGATTAGTGAATCGGTTGACAAATTAAAAAAATTGACTTCCTGTCAGTAATTTACACGTTGATTCATCATCTAATTTGTGTCGTTTATTCAGGTTGTGAAAAATGTGAGAACTATGATTTTTAGTATAACTTGAGTAAAATTGAATCTGTTCAATAGTAAATGATGGTTGACTATTGATCTGAGTTATATTTTGATAGATGAAAACTGTCTGATTTGTATATATGAGATCATCGTTGAAAAAGTTAGATCAAATGACTTCGAATCCATTGTAATGCGGTCAATGAATTCACTTTCTATCCTAAAATATTTACACAGTTTTTTCTGTGATTTCGAAATCATGAATGGATCAGTGTTCAATCACCATTAGAAACCTGGAAGCACTGAATGATGGCCGTTTCCACCTGATGTGATACTGTTGGGGACGGTAGATCCTCAGGACTAACTTGATAAAGGTCCGAATTTCGGATTTGATTCATGAGCTGCTCAGTTTTACATTTCCCACCCGCAAAATCTTTGACTGTTATTGGTTGATGTATTGTTTTAGTACGCTCTGCAAAAGACATTTCTATCATGTATAAATAAACTCAATATGTGTGCTTGTCAACCTGATATTATCTGGGTGTTTGTAGAATACACTTTCTACATCTTATCGAGATTTCTTCATCTACTTAGTGGGGTCTTGAGGCTCTCGGACTAGAGTAGCCTATCGTGTCACTGGACCATTTGTGTTCGCTATCGTTTACCGAGTAAGTTTAATACGTAATAGTTCAAGCATATCAATTGACGAATATATCAGAGACTCTTCAGAAGTGCGCATCCGGGACTCCCGCTCATGGGGATCTCATCCAGGGCCCATAGTTTAGCGCGCGAACACGTAACCTCTAGACTACAGAACCGGCCGGTATTCGACGGTGTTAATGTCTAAATTCCATTAATCCTCGGTTTTGTGGAACCTCATTTACTCTCTTCAGTGAGTACTGCTTCAAACCCGAACAAGGTTGAACTTGTCTGTTTTTAATCTTTTCCATACTGCAGAATCTGTCGTGATGATTTCATCTCGATGAGCTGATATATATTTCCCAGCAATACATTTATATGTCTCCAAATGTACATTGTTTATGATCGACTGAAACAATAGCTGATAGAATGTTGAATGTCTCTAAATTTCACATACTTTCTAAACTCTTGAATTCAACCGGGAAATTTGAATTATAAGATTAACATAAATCTCCCTTTTTTTATTTGTTCTAAAGATAAAACAAATTTTAAATTATGATAAATATTAGTAACCTTATTAATTAAATTTACAAAAATAAAATTTTTTTTTAATCTCTTGGTAAATAACTTATAACCTACAAAATTAATAAGGTTTGACATTTTTTTTGTGTGGTAGAGAGGTTAATTTATGGCGGAGTTTCGTTTTGTTCTCTTCGTGAACTACAACAACATCATCCGCGCAAACTTAATGTGGAGGAATGAAGTATTTCGAATTTCTTCAACGTATAACTTGTAGTTTGTCCTGTTGACCTCAATCTTGATTGGTTGTTATTAGCCTTTAACTTACCTCTATTAGTTTAATTGTAATCCCCTTTTGATTTAGTTCATGATTCTATGCTTGTCTATGGTTTGATAAATTGGGTCAATTTCGTTGTGTCTGTTGATTGTCGATTGAGATGAGTGCTATGCTTCGAAAAATTCTCTAGTGTTCTCTGTATTCCTTCTATCCAGTAGTTCAATAATTTTCCAGTCGTTTGTCCACAGTTGTCCACATCTATTGATGTAAGGGAAGAAATGTCATCCAGCTGAAAGAACGAAACTCCAGCATAATCATTCAACTGAGCTGTAAATTTTCTCCACCATCTCGGAAGCTAATTTAATTTGTTTATCCGTTATAACGGAAAGTCGCACTATGTACTCCATAGTAACTAGCTTCGTGAGTAAATTCTCTGAGTTCTAGTGACAAGGCGTTACCAGTGAAGTTCAGTCCTGGTGGAGGTCGGTAGAATTACTGAAGACAATGGGTGAGGTTGAAATCTCTAGGTTGAATAAAGTTAGACATACTGGCTCAGCGGACCAAAGGTTAGGAGCTCGCGTGCAAGACCGAAGGTCCAGGGTTCGAGTCCTGGGAGTAGCGGGAGTCGTGGATGCGCAACGCGGATGAGTCGTATACCAGGACAAAGCGGCCGTCTTTCAGTGCTTCCACGTTTCTAATGATGTTCTAACAATAATTGATTCATGCATTCAGTGATGGTCAGTCTGTTATTAAACGGCCTTGAGCAGAAAGAAGAAAACTATTCTATCACTGGACACTCTGGCAAGTGACGAGTTGATTGGAATACTACTCAATTTATTCCTAATTCGAATTATGATAAAAGGCACATCAATAAATATTTTGTCGTTCGCTCTAGAGAGCAGAAGTTTCAGGCCTCAAGTTCTGCTTTCAGGGTCGTAGATGGGTATGGTCAATGAGTCCCATACTATGATGAAACAGTCATCCAGTGTTACTGGGTTTTTATTGGTGGTTTAAAACTAGTCAGTTGATGATTTCAACAATTGCCACAACCTTATGCGGAAAATTTAGATTTACTCAGGGATCTGATATACAGCTTTTAAACGTCAAAATATTTCTACTTACTTACTGACTTAAGCCGTTTACCCCTAATGGACCGTAAGCCTTCAAACAGCAATCTCCAACCTACTCTCTCCTTCCAGCTCAACGCAATCGCTATACTTTTTTATATTTGCTTCCTATTCTGGACGTAATATGAGCTTTGGTCTTCCTCTTTACCTTTGGCTTTGGGGATTCCAAGTTAAGGTTTGCCTTGTGACGCGATTGGGTGCCTTTCTCAATATGCGTCCTATCCTTATTTCTTCCTCCACTGGAATCTGGTTTATTCTCTTCCCCAGTAGGTTATTGCTGATGGTGTCTGTACCATGTATTATCAGTATCTCACGCAGACAAGTGGTAATAAACACTTTTATAGTGTACATAATAGCCTTCATGATTCACCAAGTTTCAAGACATTTCTACAGTTCGTAGAGCAGATAACTCCTTTCATCTATCTATCTATCTATCGAATTTTCATTAATATTGTAGTGAACGAGAACACAGGTGGGGCAACCGAATTGTGTTTAACGAAAATTACAGAGTTACTCAGTAAAATTGGAAAACCATATCGTAAATCGTTAATTTGCAAAATATCACTTCATCCTATGGAACTGGACTGTTCCTGTTGCAAAACATCAATCCATTGTCACTATTGATGCGTTTCATACAAATTCCATTGTTTTCTAACTCTTCCTTTCTTGATCTTCCCCCATCTTCTACTGCCAGACATTACGTTGACACTCACGTCATCTACTACTTATAAGTAGCTCACACCACAATATTTTCAATAAATATCCAATAAATCTCATTTGTTCAATAATTTTCACCTGTTCCTATTGTTTATTTCTACCCTTCTTCTTAATTACAAAAAAAACATTTTTTTTATTTAGGTTTAAGTAAATTCGCTCGTTTAGCACGTTCAGTGACAAGAAATCGTTCAGTGTTACAACAATTATCTGCATCACAAACATCAACACAAAGTTCTGGATTAAATTTATATCGTATTAATCGATTGACAACATGTGGAGGTGGCGGTGCGGCTAGTACTGGAGGCGGCGGTGTTGGCGGTGCGGATACTACCAACAACGCCACTGGTGTAATCAATGATGACGTCGATGTGTCAAATCAAATAGAACAATATAATTCACCGACATTATCAAATTTTCAAAATTTAAACACAAGTACAAGTTCACGATTTCATGATTCATCAAAATCCGATCCAGAAAAAGCTGTTTTGGTAAGTTTTGCAACTGAGAGAAACCATGAATTGATCATTGAGAGAATTTTAATTTTTTGAATTTAGGAAGCATTGAAGTTAAGATGAGATTCTCACATGTGTGAGTTTGTGAATGCATAGTGTTTTCGAGTTCCATACTAAGTAGACAAAACAACCGTTCATTATTTGTACGTTTCTAATAATGATCTGACATTGATCGATTTACGGATACAATGAAACTCAACGATCTCCATAACCCTACACTGACTATAATTATAATGATGAGAAGACTGTGGCAGGCGCTCTTAGTCAATTAAAAACGACAACATTACATTGAATACACTCTATTTGCACACCATCTTTGAGCCGTGACTTCCAAAACTCCATCCTTCTTCCATTCCTGTTGTTGTTGCTTCCTTTACTTCCTGTTGGTACTCCATTTACTTCTTGCTCTGGCTCCATTTGCTTTCCGTTTTCCTCTTTGGACCGTGAGACTTTTTCTTTTACGTCCCTTCTTATACTACTTATATCGTTCGTATAAGTAGAACACACCACAATAATAATGATACTCATTGTTATAATTACTATTTTAAGCCTTTGAAATCGACTTTTTTATCCTGTGAGGGAAAAAGAACTTACAAAACTACTCTGTATATTTCAATGTCCAATATTTATTGTACACCAACATCACAGTTGAATTAAAGATACCTGGCTATGTGGATTTTCTTTCGTTTTCTTTTCAGATTTAAACAGATTAAAAGTTTATTTTCAAAAACTTCACATCATTTATTGATTTGTTGATTGATCGATAATGTTTACAAGGCACTAAATTCTAGTGAAAAAAGTGTTCATACATATGTATATATTATGTTCGTCACTAAGTTTGCTTGAGGCTAATACGAGTTCACTTTACTAGATAAACGCGAACGAGACAATGAACCAACGTCCGGGTAGGCTACCTTGAAACCCAAGCTGAAAGTAGAAGGCTTTGTAAGCGTAGAAAGTATATTCTACAAACACCCAGCAATTACAATACAATCAAGCATACAACTCTCGTTTATTTATACATCATAGAAACGTCCTTGGGACAGTTACGAAAATAGCACACTAAAATACACAGCAGCCAATCACGGCCATGGATTTTCCTGGTGGGAAATGAAATCTCGAGGTCAACTGATCAGCCCATGCTGGAAAACGTGAAAACCAAAATAAGGCATTTATCAACCGAATTTTGGGGTTCTGACATCCCCAACAGTATATATATATATATATGTTACTGTTGACCATCATAGCTTACTTACTCACTTACTTAAGCCTGTTTCTCCCAGTAGAGCATAGGCCGCCGACCAGAAATTCTCCAACCCACTCTGTTCCCCGGCATTCCTTTCTAGTTCTTCGCCATTATTGTTCATTCCCCTCCTTGTCTGTCTCCGATTTTCGACGTAATATATGTTCTTTGGTCTTCCTCTTTTCTGCTGACCTTGAGGATTTCAAGTGAAGGCTGGTCTGGTGATACGCTCCAGTACTTTTCACTTCTTGTTAATTTCTTTCTCCGTTGAAATCTGGTTTCTCCTCTCCTCTAGTAGGTTGTTACTGATAGTGTCTAGCCAACGGATCATAAGTATCTTACATAGACAACTGTACAAAATTAAAATCATCTTAAAAGAAATTTTAATTTAGGAACTGTTTTTTTTTTTAATTTTTCCCAGAAATTATTCAAAAACTATAAACTTTTTTTTAAATAGATGACATGTCATTTCAGAGTATGCACGGACTTCCTCATTAAAATCTGTCAATTATACTTAAGGCAAATGTAATGAGCCCATTCTAATAATGTAAGCGTATATGTAATCTCATTTAGAAATTTCCGGTTTAAATATAACTAACTACTTTAAATGATATATATATATATAAACATATACATCATATATATTACTTACTGACTTATTTGATTCTCATGGTAACGCAATTTAAAATTTTTATTCATTGAACAAACAGGTAAGTTTCTTTTCTTGTTCATGTAAAAGATTATTTATTCTCTGCTTGACTCGCTCTCTCTCTCTCTTCCTCTCTGTGTCTCTCTCTGTCCTTCTTTTCTCACTTACATCTATGAGATAGGGACTTGAAAACAAAATCAATAATTCACTCATCGACTTTGTGAAATAGGATTTTTTTTTGCTTTACCCGGTTTTGAAAAAAATCTTACAACCTTATACTGACTGTGTCAATCAATAAGAGTGTTTTTTGTTTGTTTGTTTGTTTGCTGTACAAATTAGCGCGCCTAAATTAAAATGCAACCAGTGAATTGAACATTGAATAGGTGAATTGGCAGTTTTTTTCTATTTTTTTGAGCAGAAAAGTGTGAAATGTGTTCAATGAACTGGTTTATCTTTGAGAGAGAAGAATTTAGTACATTCACTGTGCTTGCTTTTCCTTCACTTACATAATTTATGGACATTAGAATTTTTGAAAAAAATAATAATAATTTGTTATTGAAATATATGGAAATGTTGTGGGCATAGCTCTTTTTTTTTTTAAAAATTTCAAGTTCATGTTGAACATTAAAATTTGTTTGTTTACATTAATATTACTAAAAATAGATTTGTTTTTTCACACGCCAATGAAGCGTGTAATAAGCCAATTGTAATTTATATATATATTTTTTTAAATGTACAAATTTATCTTAGTGAACATTAGTTCATTGAATATTGAATAACCAATCAATCAATCGCAACGTAGAACGTCTTAGGTACCGTACGTACATCAGTTCATGTTTTCATACCACATCAGCACAGAGATGTAATTGTCAATTCAAATCCATATAAGCGAACAATATTGTTTTCGATTAGATCGTCGTCAGGCTTTACTCTTATATACATGAATATTTATATGAAAATGTTAAACCAATCAAGTCAATTTGAGTGATAATCACAATGAAATGAAAAAGATTACGTAACTACATCTAATAGGCAAAAGTTCAAGTGGATAATAGGAAAACAGGTGTACTGATAGTAGTAAGAAAATTTGTAAAATATGATAACTAAAGTAGGTCAAGTGTGGATGAATAGAATTCAAATAATCATCATTCAAGAAGTAGAATCTAGTGAAATAAACTTAAAAAGATAAAGATCAAGTGATGAAGAATTAAAAATTTCTGGCTTGAGAGAACACAAAGAATAAATGCGCCGGCGCCATTGTAAACGGTTTTGAGCTATGTCATTCAGGGTCTCTAACCATTGATTACTATCATCTCGCGGACTACAAACAGGTATTCGACACCTAAAAACATGACTCAGTCCACTTGTAAATGACTTCATGCATTCCTGTCATGTTTTGGTCTGGCGGCCCCCATGGCGTTCTTCCAACCTATTCCTACACCACAAAACATAGCTCGACGAGGCAGTCGGTGGTTAGGCATACGCAACACATGCCCCAAACACCTCAACTGATGAAGTTTTAATACTTCATCTATTGACCGGTCAGCCTTACCTAGCAACCGTTTCCTAATAACTGCATTGCTCACTCGGTTGTCCCACGATACTCAAGCAATGCTTCAAAGACATTTATGATCGAATAGTGAACAACAGTAGAATACCAATTGAGTCGTAACTTAAATTCACTACTTATACTATTTGGGTATCATTGGATCATAGATTAGTTTTAAAGAGTTTTGATAGCCATCAATTTTATTCAGTTTGATCTGGTATTTACTTTCATTTGTAAGGGTTTTCAGTTTTTCCCATTATTCCTTTGTCATAACAGAAAAGGACAATTGTTTCCTTGGGAACATAAGCGCCATCATATGGTTGTGGCAATCGCTGAGTTTAATCGACAATCGAACTCAAGATATTCGTTTTCGGGTTAGTAGTCAAGAAATTAAACGTTCACCCGTGAAACCAAATGTCCAGGTTTCGATTTTTCCTATTTCAGGATCGTATACTCACACATGGTTGATGAGTCCCAGTACTAGAAAAAAAATGGTCATCTAATGTTTCCAGCTTATTCAATTAATCCAACTCTTTATTGTTGGTTAGATTTTGACGAGTACATTTTTTAAAAAAATGTCCATACTTAAAACCTTTTTAAGTTATCTGTATTTGCAGTAAACAAATATTGATTAAACCCTTGAATAAGGTTGATAATTTTCCTGAATCCTGTCAGCTTATATTTTGATAAAATATACTTTCAGTATTTACATGATAGTAGAAATTTATAGGGCGGGTAATGAACCTAAAATTACGATTATCCTAACTTTTGAAAAATCAGTGACTCATGTTTAATCGCCAGATTGTAATTTTGAACCTAACCTAATTTAAACACCATCAAAACGCGTATTGTTTATAGTTATATTAACAGAGTAACTCATAGAACTCAGCAAAATATTACGTACTTACTTACTTACTTACTTACTGACATACTTACCTACCTACTTACTTACTTACTTACTTACTTACTTACTTACTTACTTACTCACTTATGTACTCACTTACTTACTTACTTACTTACTTACTTACTTACTTACTTACTTACTTACTTACTTACTTACTTACTTACTTACTTACTTACTTACTTACTTACTTACTTACTTACTTACTTACTTACTTACTTACTTACTTACTTACTTACTTACTTTCGTCAGTGACCACCTATAGAGCATAAGCCGCTAACCAGTATTTTTCCAACCACCTCTGTCTTGGACTCCCCTTCCCAGTTCTATCCAATTTCCGTTCATTCTTCTCATGTCTCTCTCTATTTTGTCCGTGTAATGTGTTCTTTGGTCTTCTTCTTTCCTTTGTCCTCGAGAATTCCAAGTGAGGGCTTGTCTTGTGACTCATTTGAGTGCTTTCCTCAATATATACCCTATCTTCACCTCCAACGCTTCTTTCTGATTTATTCCTCTGCTGGAATCTGCTTTGTTCTCTCTTAAAAAATAGCTTTTTATTGATAGTATTTGACCAAGGGATTCGAAGTATTTTGCGTAGACAGTTGTTCTCCAAGCTTTTACCCCCCCTTACGATAGAACTATCTAAACATTTGAATTTCTCTGTTTAATATCTACTAATATTCATGTATAACTTCAGTCATTTTTTACACCATAAATTTCTGTCTTCATGTCTTGGAGTAATAGGTTCTTTGTTCCTCCTGTTTTCTCTTGTTCTTGAGGATTCCAAGTGAGGGTTTGTTTTGTGATGCAGTTTGGTATTTTCCTTAATATGTGTATCCAATCCACCTTCGGAGGTTCTTCCTTGAGGTATCTGACTAACGTATCCGAAGTATTTTGCGTAAACAACTGTTAAAATAAACACTTTCATCTTGTGGATGATATCTTTCGCAGTTTTGCAAGTTTCCACCGCATACAATATGACTGCTTTGACGTTTGTATAGAAGAAAATTGTGACTTTAATGTTAGTTGACAAATAGTAGTTTCGAGTTATAGATATTCTTTAAGTGTAAAAATGCTGCCCTTCATGTCTAATAGCATGCATGTGTAATTTCAGTACATTTAACACGATGAATTTTTTCTGGTTAGCGTTTTTTTGGCAAGTTAGTTTTTGACGGAATGGGGTCGCCAACCCCATGTCCAACAATCGTCCTTTACCTGGGCTTGGGACCGACAGTAGCCCCGAAGGTTCTACTGCACCAACCAAATCACTCTTGATGGAGATGCCTTGGAGGACGTTAACACATTTACATATCTTGGCAGCATCATCGACAATCAAGGTGGATCCGATGCAGATGTGAGGGCACGGATTGGCAAAACAAGGGCTGCATTTCTACAGTTGAAAAATATCTGCAACTCCAAACAACTTTCAACCAAAACCAAAATCAGGATTTTCAGTACAAATTTCAAGACAGTTATACTGTATGGAGCGGAAACATGGAGAACTACCAAAGCCATCATCCAGAAGATACAAGTGTTTGTTAACAATTTTCTACGCAAAATACTTCGTATTCGTTGGCCAGACACCATCAGCAACAACGTACTGTGGGAAAGAACAAACCAGATTCCAGTGGAGGAGGAAATCAGGAAGAAGTGGTGGAAGTGGATAGGACACACTCTACGAAAAGCACCCAACTGCGTCACGAGACAAGCCCTCACATGGAACCCTCAAGGTAACAGGAGAAGAAGAAGACCAAGGAACACATTACACCGAGAAACAGAGAAAGATATGAGAAGAATGAACAAGACTTGGACAGAACTGGAAAGGGTAGCCCAGGACAGAGTTGGATGGAGAAAACTAGTAGGCGGCCTACGCTCCATTGGGGATAACAGGCGTAAGTAAGTAAGTAAGTAACACAGTGAGTATCTCTTCCTTGATATGATTAATTCACTAAACTCATGTGTATATTTACCCGTTTTCTATTTTTTCCTCTTTTTCTCCCCTCCACCAAAAAATCTAGTCAACATCATCATGGCTTGATTTAGTGCCACAATATAAACAAGAAGCCCCAAAAACTCCACCACATATCATTCTACATTATATTGCATTTAAAACCACATGGGATTGGTTAATTCTATTCCTAACCGGATACACCGCTGTCATGGTACCATTTAATGCTGCATTTAAAAATAAAACCATGGATGATGTTAGTTTTTTAATTATTGACAGTATAGTCGATGTGATATTTTTCATAGATATTGTATTAAATTTTCATACAACATTTGTTGGACCAAATGGTGAAGTGATATCGGACGCAACGATTATACGTATTAATTATTTAAAAGGATGGTTTATTGTTGATGTGTTATCTTGTTTGCCCTATGATGTGTTCAATGCATTTCAACCAGAAGCGACACAAGTAAGTTTGTGTTTGTTTTATGTTTTCTGTCAGAGTTTTGAAGATTTGTGTTTTTTTGCACATTTGAAATTATCAATCAATCAATCATTGTTAGACACGTATTAGAAATCTGGAAGCACTGAAGGATGATCGTTTCGTCCTGGTATGGGACTGACTCATCAGTGGCAATGCACATCCACGTTTCCTGCGCCCCGCAAGATTCGAACCCGGGACCTTCGGTATTGTGCGCGAACGCCTAACCATCGGATCACTGGGCCGGCACCCAACGGTGTTAATGTCTAACTCTGATTGATCTAGGGATTTTGCGCGACTTCACCCATTTGTCTTTGGTAGTTACTGCCTACACCCGACAGGGTTGAACTCTATTGGTCACGTCTTCTCAACTAGAACTCCGAGAATTTCCTCACGAAGCTAGTCACTAGTGAGCACTGTTACGATATTTTGGAGCACAGTTTTGGAGGTTTCGTATTTTTACACATTTGAAATCATCAATCAATCATTGTTAGACCACCATTAGAAGAAATCTGGAAGCACTGAAAGACGACCGTTTCGTCCTGCTATGGGACTGACTCACCGGTGGCAGTGAACATCCACGACCCACTCATCTTCGCTGCTTAATTTTGCTTAGCTTCATTTTGAAGATTCTCTTTAGTGCTTGTCTACTTCGCGTTTCTCCGAGTTTCCTCCTCATACAGTAAAACTGTCTAAGCGTTTGTATTGGAAATTTTTATTTTGGTTGATAGTTGTTTGGAGTTCCAGATGTTCGGCAATTGTGGAAAGGCAGCCCTTGCATTTCCGACCCGCGCCTTCACATCTGCATCAGATTTACCTTACTGATCAGTTATACCGCCTAGATATGTAAAGTTTTTTAAATCTTCCAAAACATCTCCATCAAGATTGTTTTGGTTGGTGCATGTTGTGTTGCATAGGAGAATCTTGTTTTTTCCCTTTTTTGTATATTGAGACCTACTGCTGCAGAAGCTGCTGGTACACTGGTTTTTCTTCTCCTGAATTTATTGTTATATATGGTATGGAAGAAGTAGACCATCTGCGAAGTTGAGATCGTCGAGTTGCATCCTCGTTATCCAATCTATCTCATTCCTCCACCTAAATGTTGACGTCTTTATAATTCAGTCGATCACCACGAGATTGAGAAAGGTTGAAGGTGAACAACCGTGGTTGACACCATTCTTTACCGTGGACGAGTCTGTAAGCTGTCCTCCATGCATACGTTTGCAGTTTAATCTATCATTAGAGTTCCGTACGATGTTGACTATCTTTTCAGGCAGGCTCTGGTATATTTAATTATATATATATATATTCCATCCCTTCCTGATACGCATCTTCCTCAGCTGTAAGAATCTAGTTTGTGCTCATCCTCAATAAGTTGTTTCTAATGATATCTGTCCAACGGGACTAAAGTGTCATGTGTAGACAACTGTTAATCAACACATCTTTTAGTTGATGTGTTTCGTAGTTCTGATTGTATTACTTCGTCAAGTTTCTACTTTATACTACAAATGTTTTGATATGTGTATGGTGAATTTTGACTTCGGTGTTTACTGACAGAGAGTTTCTTAGAGCTAGGAGATTTTTGGTATGAGAGTTGATTCCAGCGAACGTTACTCAGTTCAAATCTCACAGTGAACATCAACTTTGAGATATGGCAGTTGCATTCAGCTGATGAGTCGTCAAAATAACGAACCACACACATCTTTGATTCCACTGCTAGCATAGGCCACCAATCAGCATTTTCCATCTTGCTCTGTCCTCCGCCTTCCTTGCTAGTCCTACCCATCTGTCGTTCATTTTTCTCATGTCTATCTCATATTCACCGGGTAATGAGCTCAATGGCCTGCCTCCTAGTTGTCTACTGTATCCCGTGCTTCCTTCCGGATATTGATGTCTTCATTATTCAGTTAATCACTTGGAGAAAGAGAAAGGTTGAAAGTTAGTAACCTTGCCTGACCCCCCATCTTTACTCCAAACGAATCTGTGAGCTCTCTTACACGCATACTTTCCCACTTTAATCCATCATAATAAGTGTGTATGATGGTAACTTTCTTCTCTGGCACGTCGTTATATATATAGATATATTTTACATTTGCCTTTAACACCATTTTTTCCTTGTGTCTTTCTTATTTTTTTCATTTCAAAATCGCAGAGTACAATCAGTTCATTATTTGGTGCATTAAAAGTTGTACGTTTATTACGTATTGGTCGGGTTACACGTAAACTAGATCAATATTTAGAATATATGGCAGCGAGTTTATTATTAATGATATCAGGTTTTGTACTTTTGGCACATTGGTTAGCATGTGTATGGTATAGTGTTGGTCAAAGTGATTTAAAAAATGGTATTTATTATGGTTGGATACCAAGATTATTAAATGATATTGATCAAGGAAAAACTGTACCAACAAATTGGACTAGTGGTGTAAGTTATTTGATTTTATTCTCATGATCTAATCATGAATATACCATTCTTCGCTGTTGTTAACAATTGATGTTATGACAAGTTATAACATTATAGTGGATGAAGTTTCCCATTCTCTGAGTTGAATGTTTTTGGTTGTGAAGCTGTCAGTGTTTTTCTTCTGAACACAACATTATCAGTAGCACAAACTTTAAGTAGAAGAAGTGAGATATTCGGATTCCTCTCTGTATGACGAGCAGCTTGTCCTCTGTTGACTGCGATATTGATTGGTTGTCATACGAGTCATACGAGTCATCTAAATACTTTAGTTTCCTCCCTAAAGTTTGTACTGATGATGATATTGTTCAGAAGAAAAACAATGAAATCTCAACAGTCAAAACTTTCTAGCTCAGCGAACGAGACTCCACCACAATCACCCATCTGAGCTGGAAAATTTTCTCCAACATCACAATTTAATATTTTTTAAAAATCCACTCGATCAAAATTGCCAAGAAGTGTTAGTCAACTGCGTTATACACTTTTAAAAACCTGTTATCAATACGTTGTACCTTATGGTACACAAGTGTACTGTCGAACACAAAACTAGCAGCCGATTCAGTCAGTCGGTATTCCATGTTCAATGAAATAAAGTAGTCACTATAAAAATGAAGTCAGTTTCAGTTTAGTTTTGTTCCTGGTTGTAAAATATCTTCCGGTTACACTGGATTGCTTACGATACGGTTGAGAAAACAATAACTGTGATCTTTATGCTCAAAAGAAATGTGTAACATTCAGTCTTTTCTTCGGCTTGGAGAAATCTATTTGTACTGGTCTCTCATACCCTCCACTTGCGTTTCTTGTTGTGTGTGGAAGGGAAGAGCTAGATCATCTGCAAAGTTCAAATCGACTAGCTGAATCTGAGCTTTCCACTGTATTCCATACTTCTTCCCTGAGATGCTGACGTCTTCATAATCTAATGAGCAACCAAGAGAAAAGATAAAGGGTGAGAGTAAATAACCTTGTTTGACATCGGTTTTCAGTTGGAACAAATCTGTGAACTGTCCTCCATGCACGAGTTTGCAGTTTAATCCATTATAAGAATTCTGTATGGTCCTGACTACCTTCTCAGGTACCTCATAGGGACATTCTGTACACGATGTCAAATACTTCCTCGTTTGATTGGTTCACGATCAATCCTTATGGCATACAACCTGCTGATCTCTACAGAATCTTTCATTCTGTTCAGCAACACTCTGTTGAGGACTTCTCCCGGTGTTGAGAGTAGAGTGATACTTCTATATTTCTCACACTTACTGAGATTTCCTTTCTTTGGTGTTTTTTTGTAGTGTCCTTCTTTCCAGTCTGTTGGTACTTGTTCTTCATCCTAAATCTTGATGAAGAGAGCGTGGAACATTTTTGCAGTTATTGCTACGTCTGCTTTCATTGCCTCAACTGAAATGTTTTCTGATCCTGATGATTTGCTACCCACTGATTTGATTAATAGCCACATTGATCTCGCCAACTGTTGATGGGTCAGTATCCATTAGGAGGTTTGTGGGTGCTGCTTCGGTGTTAAGTGGATTCAGTTGGGTTGGTCTGGTCAAGAGTTATTTAAATTGCTCTACCAACCTGTTTCATGTTTCCTTCTGTTGCAGTTTTTTCTGCTGTCGTTAATAGATCTTCCATATTTAAACGATTTTCATCTTTAATGCCTATGTTCATTTACTAGTTTCGGCCTATGCATGCATAGCACTGGACAACCTTTATTGTATTGCCCTCTTTCTTTGTTTTGAAGAATGCTTCGATGATCCTGGATCCATGAGATTGGCATTCTATAAGTGCATTTTTGCTTGCCTGAATAGCATCAGTGCAACTCCTTGTGTGTGTGTGAGGCATTTGCTTCTTCATGGACCAGAATACAACAGCATCTCTTGCTGAAGTTAGTCTCTTTTGTCCAACATGCGTCCAATGTGTTCCAGTGATTTAAAGAACAACTAGGTTGTATCTTTTCAATTCCTCAGAGATTTGAATGATTCTTCTGGTATGCCACATTGTGCACACATCACATCTACCTATATTAATTGTTGGTTTAATTGTGAGATGTTGCATCCACCTCATGACACCCGAAAAAACTCGGCTTTTATAATAAGGCATGATAACTGTTCGAAATGAAAACTTTCCAAGGACATCGTTTAAACAGTTAAAACTGTTATTTCTGCCTGGCGTTTTCTGGCAAATCGATTTTTATACCAAATGGGATCGCTACCTCCATGTCCAACCGTTCTCCTATATCCGTGCTTGGTACAGACGACACTAAGCTTAGATGAACTCTGAGAGTGGTTTCTCGGCTGGTGGGGAAAAGTTTTAGCTCAGTTGTATGATTGTGGCATAGTTTCGTTCACTGAGCTGAGCATGTTTTGGTTGTGGAGCTTTCACTTTTTTCATCTGAACACAACATCATCAGTACAAACTTTAGGCAAACATAAAATCAAGAAACAGATCAAAAGGGGGATAGAATCAAGTTCGAGTTCAACAGAACAAACTACAGGTCAAAAGCGGATAATTATGATGCTGTTCGGAAGAAGCACAATCAAACCCCGCCAACCAAAACATTCTCAGCTCAGATAAAAATAAAACTACTCCATCACAAACATCACATACTCTTTCAAATAAAAACTGAACTTCATTTTCTTTTTTTGCATAAACTCAAATCAGCATTGAAAGATTAATTTCAATTTTCGCAAAAAAATAATAAATTTGATCTGATAGTGTGATGTTGTTCGTTATACTCTGTTATATTACTCTGATATTCGTCAATTTATTGACGAAGCCAAAAAAAAGGTTCTTTCTATCAAAAGAATAAAGTATATAATCATTTTCGGAATATTTCGTGACATAAAACTAACAACTACCAATATGCATGTGTTTTGATAGTTTAACTTATTAAATTCAACTTTATTGTAAATAAATAATTGACCTGAATTCTTATAAATATATTAATTGAATAATGTGTCAATTAAAAATAATTTTTGTCCCAAACAAATAAGTAAATAAATGAAAAAAGGAATTGGGAAATTTCCTTTTTCTCTCCCCTTTTTTTAAGAAAAAAGGAAATAATAATTATTAATTATCATATGTGTCTAAATGTGAAACAACAGTATGTTGAAGAGTTTGTAGTGTGTTGAGGTTGTAGGGCTTGGTGTCTCGGCCTTTGGATAAATTAATCTTTTCCGAACGTTGTGAACGAGAACACAGGTGGGGCAACCGGATTGTATCTAACGAAAATTACAGAGTTACTCAGTAAAATCGGAAAACCATATCGTAAATCGTTAATTTGCAAAATATCAGTTCATCATATCGAACTGGACTGTTCCTGTTGCAAAACATCAATCCATTGTCACTATTCATGCGTTTCATACAAATTCGATTGTGTTCCGACTCTTCCTTTCCATCTTCTGCTACCAGACCATTTAACGCTGAACACTCACCGTCATATACAACTTATAAATAGCTCGCACCACACTCGTTCCCCCCCATTTAGAAGCTGTCGTCACTTTCAACACAGGGCCCCTGGCCAGTTAATATCACCTTCCGTATTCCGTGACGTCGCTACAATATGCCGGATTTAATACTTTCAGTCATTTTTTCTTGCCCGCTGGTCTGGAATTGGTGTACGGCATCTATCCAAAGTGTAGCGTTTACTAGTTCCCGCTGCTGAGGCACACTCTCGGATAAATTGCGACGCCAACAAACTTGTGCCTCCGGACTCCTCAATCCATACTCGATAGCGCACGGCGCAGCAAAATCGTGAGCTCTACAGCCAGCACCAACGGGTCACCATCAGCCGACAGCCTCGCCAACCGGAACCTCTGCGGCGCCTCCTCCCTGTCCACTGGGCTGTCGAACTCCGTCATCAGCCGCCCGGTGACCGTCTCCCGAACAGTCTTCCCGGCGGCACCGTCCAGTATGTCGTATACCGCCTTCGCCTCACCTCCCCGCAGCGTCCCCAGCACCGCCAGCTCCGCATCGGACCCCTTCACACCCACCAGCCTCACCGCGGCCTCAAACTCCTCCAGGAAGCTCCGTCCTCCAACTCCTTCGGCCACGGGAGCTCCTTCCTTCGAGCAGGCAGCTTCGTTTTGTTTGTACGCTTTTCATTCTCATGTTTGTCTGCTTAGATAAATGTATGGCATCTTATTATTGCCATCGCATAAACGGAATTCGATTATGTATATATTATATACAGAAATGAAAGTGAAGATTTATTTCATAGCTTACTTGATCATTGAAGATGACAACATCTGAAGGGGAAGCACAGGATGGGAGCAATCGACGACTAGGATGTAGCTGGATGATATGCATTTCACAGATGATCTTGCTATTCTATCGCACACACATAACAACAAATATAACCCGAAGATGACCATCGTAGCAACAGCCTCAGCAGTAGTTGGTCTCAATATACATAAAGGGAACAGTAAGATTCTCCAATACAACACGACATACGCCAACCAAATCACTCTTGGAGGATGTTAAAATCTTTACAGATCTGGGCAGCATCATTAACGAGCAAGGTGGATCCGATGCAGATGTGAGTGCACGGATCGGCAAAACAAGGTCTGCATTTCTACAATTGAAAAATATCTGCAACTCCAAACAACTTTCAACCAAAACCAAAATCAGGATTTTCAATACCACGAAGACCATCATCCAGAAGATACAAGTATTCATTAACAGTTACCTACGCAAAATATTTCGGATTCGTTTGCCAGATCCCCATCCAACAACAACAAGCTAGTAATATTTTTGTTTCCAATTAGATCGTCATCAGGCTCTAGTCTCCAATATACACGAATGATTTATGAGGAAATGTTAAATTAATCAAGGCAGTTTATGAGTCCAGTAATCACAATGAAATAGATAATATAACTCCATACAAGTTGGTATTAAAAAGACAGGTGTGTACTGATAGTAGGAGTAAGAATAATAAAATACGATAACAGAAGTTTTTTGTCCATATTTCAACATTGAAAAATAGTAAGTCAAAC